AGAACACAACTTTAACAAAGAACTGACAGACCTCTAGGCTTTGAAGGGTTACCATTGTTAAGAGCCCGTAACCGCTCTCCGCAAGCTACACTTACAACAGTGGACCCTCGTTTCGTGAACCCTGAACTCAGTGGTGGACAGAGCACATTTTCGCTTTAATTAGATTTTTAGAGTGTGCTGTAGGATGGTGATGCTCGATTGGTCATTCATCATTCCCCATGTGTCGATTTTGAAAAATGCGAAAGGAAGAATCTGTTCTTATGACATATAAACCGATAGGGCTTTAGTCTAGTTTCCTTCAAGCTTATGATATGGAGAGGCGTAATACCTATGAAGGGACAAACGGTCATTGATATTTTGGTATTCGATTTCACAAACCTTCGTTAAGGCAAGTGCTCTGGAGGCAATCAGTTGTTGTTGACGTCGGCTGCAGCACGGTGTTCGGTTCTACCCGAAATACGTCGTCAACAACCTGTGAGGTACGAGTCAAAAAGTCGCAGGGTTTCTCAACCGATTGGCACTGTGTTGTGTGCTGTTGCTCAGTATGGCTATCAGTACATGAACAAGGTGTCGGATCTTGTGATAACCAACTGTGCACATAATTAGAAGAAATATTACAAACAGTGTGATAAAGTCACAGAACAGAAATCATCATTTGGCCATCGAACCAAACGTTGGCAAAATATGAAGCTTTCTATTTTCAGAGCGCTAAGGCAACTTAAACATGTGTTAATGAATGAAGCCTTGTATAATTCTGTGCCACAGTAGATGCTGAGAAATTCTGATCGGCTGACGTTTCACATTCCAAGATGTCGTGCAGGGGACACTCTGAATTGTATGGCATAGAGAGACAAAGACGATGAAAAGTGTTGAGGATATGGTTGGCTACATTTCTTAGAAGAACGTTGCTGTGAGGCAATTCGGACAATTTGAACAGAAGGATAAAGTTAGAATTTGTGACTGTTCGACTTCATTTTTTCTGTATAGCGTTTGATTCAAAGCCTAAAACACCACCTCTTGCTTACCAAGAGTTCGTTGCCTCCTTAAATGACCGTTCTGGAATTTACCACAAATTGTAAGCTCTACTGTAACGGTAAGGGAGAACACCATCTGTTAAGGTAATTCAGTGATACCGTCGTGGTGCTACTTCAATGAGACTTCGTTTTGCATACGACAGGATGGTTTTCTCGAGAATTGAAAATGTTCCAATTGAAATTTATTTTTCACTCAGAAAGAATATCCTATTCTTACATCATAATCTTACTTGGAAAGCTGCCGTTTTCCGTGATACCTGCTCCGTAATCTTGGAGTTTTGCTTGGTCGTGTTTTGTTTAAACGTACCCAAATTTGTCCGTTTTAAAGCAATTAAATAATTTGCGTTGTATTTCAGGTTCTGACCGCCTGCTACAGTGCAAACCAATATCCGTCGGCTAAAGAAAAGAGGTTAATCGCGGAAAAGACCAACCTCAGTTTCTTGCAGGTCAGCAACTGGTTCAAAAACAGGCGACAACGAGCCAAAAGCTCTTCCACCCATGCTCACAACGACTGATGCATTTGATACCGACAACGAAGTGAATGTTTGACGGAACGCGACCAGATGTGCAACTCAGATGTGCGAGGTCAGCTGGCCAACTC